TCTCAGCTGTATGCAGGATCAGACCTTTAGATTTCAAACTCTTCGGGGCATGCCCAGCAGCACAATGGGGCCCTGACCTCAGCTGCTATTGTAGTATGAGTAGTGATATTATACATCACTTTCAATGGCCTTAAATAGAATGAAGACAAATAATCAAATGAGAAGCTACCATCTTGACAGTCTGATGCTAGGATGTAGGTCAGAATATAGCTGCCATTTCTGAGCATGGGGAGGCAGGGCCTTTCAAAGATGGTGAATGGTAAGTTCTATTTTTTTCCCCCCCTTAGTTAAACAATGGATAAACTTAACCGTTAGATCATAAAACTCACCAGGCAACAACATCATCAGATGGTCGGGCTTTCCCCATGCAGGCAAACAGCAGCTGCATTCTCTGCACCGTGGCCTGCATTAACAGTGCATTGATCATGTTAATAAGTCACCGTGTAGGCCCCAATTCAGCACAGCATTTAATCATGTGCTGCAGTCCACAAATATTCTGCAAGGCCCCAAAGCACACACTTGACTTTAAGCACTCCTGTGCTTGACATTAGGTATGTGCTTAAGAGTTCTGCTGGATCAGGGCCAGGGGACTCAGCCTCTTTCAGAATCAAGCCCTAAGCTACCTGCCCCAGGGAGCCAACAGCAATGCTGGGAGCAGATCCCAAATCTCCTGCATACCAGGCCCCCGCCCTCACACACAGTCATCCTCTCTCCCTTGCACACCCAGAGCATGAGAGAAGGAAACCAGGTGTCCATTTCAGCCTAGCTTGCTTGGACGGGTTCTCCTGCATGCTGGGCCCTGCAGACCGCACAGCACACCTGCAGGCGCAGAGGGGACCCCGGCAGGGGCAGGCTGTGACCTGTAATGCTCATGCTCTAATGCTGGGGGGTGAGGGAAGGCAAGTGCGCTTCATGCGGACTAAGAGCTCCATGGGGGAGATAACACGAGCCTCCAGGGAAATCTGACTGAGGCCCATGGCCAGCCTAATGCAAGGTCCCTTCTTCTGTTTACCTCCATCCACTCACCCTGTCCCGCTCGCCCAAAGTGCCCCTGCCTCCTCCCCTACCCCACCTGCTGCTGGAGCCGAGTCGTGTGGAGAGCGCGCGCTGCCCTCTGACTCTTGGGCCTGGTGGCGGGGCCGCAACCTTCCTTCAGCCTTTCCTCTCACGTAGCCGTGTGGGGTTCCCCCCACGCCTCATTAGCGTTCACAATCTAAGCACTCACAAGCCCCCAAGGGCTTCATTAGTAACCGAGCAGCAAAGGGTCTGACCACCTGGAATGCGGCTTTCGGGAGAGGCCCAGGACTTGACAGGAAGCCCCAGTAAAAGGTTGTTTCAGTGTCTCAGCCATAGCCCATTGTAAACCACACGCCTTAGGCTGCGTCCACACTATAGCTCGGGGTGCGATTCCCCTGCTCGCGTACACGCACTAGCTCCCACTGGGCTAGCGCAAGCAGGGGAGCCGCAGCAGCATGGGCAGTGGCTGTACAGTCGAGCGGGCGAGGACCAGAGCTGCCTGAAATCAGTGTGTAGGTGCTCGGCACAGCTCTGCCATGCCTCTGTCGCCGCTCTCTGTGCTACCGCGGCTAGCCTGCTATTTATACTTGCACTAGGCCAAGGAGTGCTAGTGCGGATACATGTACATAGGGTGACCAGATGTCCCGTTTTTAATGGGACAGTCCCGGTTTTTGGGACTTTTTTCTTATATAGGCGCCTATTACTCCCCACCCCCGTCCCGTTTTTTCACAGTTGCTAACTGGTCACCCTACATGTACACGAGCAGGGGAATCACATCCCCAGGGTAGTGGAGACGTAACCCTAGTCTACACCGGCTGAGTTAGACCCCCCCAGTGCAGGTGGGTGGGCTCAACATGAGGAACAATGACATACAACGAAAAAAATCTCAGCTAGGAAAAGAACAGCTTCCATTTTCATCCTGAGCTGCCTGTTTCCATTGCTGCGTTGTGGTAATTTGCCCTTCGAGCAAACATAGGCCAGGTGGCAAGAGTAAACCTCCAATGATTCGCCAGGGTGGCACGAGTCAGATGTGTGTGTATTGGCATGTAAATGAAGAGCAACATCAGGGACCACCATGGTCCATCAGGGACCACCGTGATCATCATCTTCCTGTGTAACAGAGGCCTTAAGACTTCCCTGATGCGATTCCTGTTTGAACTACAGCAGATCTAGTTCATGGTGTCGAGGGCTCAGACCTCCACGTCCTTAATAAAATCCAGATTTTACCTGCAAGTCTCTGAGGGAAGTCACAAATAGACAGGAACTAACTTAAATGCGGTATTTCTGGAGGACACAAGCAAATTTATACATTTACCATGTAAATCAGGAGTAAAGCCACCAAAGCCAAAGGAGTTACAGTGGGGTAAGTAAGAAGAAAATCAGAACCATGGACTTAGGAAAAAAAAAGCCTCCCACCGTTTAGGGTTACAGAGATGGAAGGCTGCGCTGATAGAATTTACATGACAGGCAGAAACGCATCACGCGTCAAAGGTGGGCAGGAAGTGAAGGCAATTCACAAAGCAAGAAAGGGGCTGATGGAATCTGCAGAACTTTCCACTCCAATTGTTAAAGCAATAACGGTCACGGTCAAAGCAACAGGACCCAGCAGGGGTGACTCACATTAATATTATAGCCTGAAATTAACACACCCCTACGATAAGAGTCAATATGGTAGAATGTGGTTAAGATTCTTCCTCTTCAGCCACATCGCTGGAAAATATTTCTCTCTCATTTCCAAGTCAATTTCGGAAGTTAAAGAAGTGATGAGACTATTTGTATTTCAGCAATTACAAAGCAAAGTTCTCAAATAAAATAATCCTTTTGCTTTACCCTTTCCAACCCTAATTTAAACATGCTGGTCCAAGCGGGTGCTTTATGTGCCACCCCACTCACCCACCCATACCTCGGTATATCTCCAGGAGGAAAACAAAGGGAACACAGAAAGGCAACAGTTTGTCAGTCAATCTGCAATCAGATTTTCACAGGCCAAGTTTTCTAAGTGTCAGTGCAAATGATAAAATTCACACGCAAGGCCAATTACCGCGTGCAGGTCAAGTGTAAAACGGCAGCGGGGCTGTGGGTGTGGTCTCTAACGTCAGTATTTATATTCAACACCTGTGTGAGTAGTTCTCAAACCTTTCCCTGTGCTGCCACTCCTTTTGCCAGGACCCCTCTCCCTGTTAACAGTACGGGAAGAGCCGGGTGGTAGTGAGTGGCAAGTTAAGAACCTTTGACTTAGGTATTTGACTTAGGTAAATAGGGCGGGTAGAAATTGATCTCTCAGGGATCGATTTATCGCGTCTCATCTAGACGCGATAAATCGATCCCTGAATCGATGCGCGTACTCCACCTCATCAAGAGGAGTAAGCGGCGTCGATGGGGGAGCCGGGGCGGTCGATTTGCCGCCGTCCTCACAGCAGGGTAAGTCGAATAGGATACTTCGACTTCAGCTACGCTATTCGCGTAGCTGAAGTTTGCATATCTTACATCAACCCCCCCCCCCCCGTGTAGACCAATCAGTGTCTTTGCTGCCACTGAAGAATGGTGTTACCAGCAAAAGATGCTGGGTGACAACAATCAGACTCTTGCCATTGGGAAAGAGTGTCTGCTTTACACACACTTCTGGGAGTGGAGAAAGGTACGGCATGCTCCCCTATATCCTTCACCAAACGCAGTAGGAATCTGATTTTTGAATGCAGGGGCCTGAGAGAACATCACAAATCCAGCATCTGCACATGGGCACTCACAGGACGGACAATCACGGAAAATGCAGATCCAGGTGGTGACCCGTCTAGAGTACGGCCTAGTTAGGACCCAGTGTTTGGAAATGGAGCCTCCCGTGCGCAGAGTGCAGGCCTCAGCAGGGGTAGCCTGTGCCCCTCAGCCCGGCCCTCAGACAAACCAATGAATGCTGACTGGCTGAGTCTGGGCCTCGTCACATGCGCCAGGAGTCGAATTAAAGACGAGGCCATGGAAGCTATGGTAGGTGGAGCGGGTGCATGCACCAGCCTTCCCTGTCTTTGATGCCTGGACTCAAACACAAGCTCACGTCACAAGGGAGTGTGAGCTGGGTAGTCTCTGGCGCACGGCCTCATTCGCGTGCATCACAGCTCAGCGCCACTGGCAGTGTGTGTTCTCAAGACAGCCAGCAATGGTAGGGCAAGGGACATTGCATACCCGCTTTGAGCTGCACTGGAATGGCTGCCTTGAGAAGCTCGTCAATTGCCCACCTGCACTGGTGCTATCGGCATCTCCATTTTGTGAGTACAGTACTAGAGTCACCCACAGATTTAGAAGGCGAAATCCTGGGCCTGTTGAAATTAGTTGGATCTACCCAGCAAGCAGAGCATCAGTTAGACATCTTCTAATTGTAGGGATGGGCCTGAAACCACCCAACTCTAAAATTCATGGCTGTGCCTTCCACACCTCTCTCTGTAATGGGCTAATCCAAACACCCCCACAAACTGTGGGAAGCTTGTATCCAGGGATCTGAGTTTTGTAGTTCGGACCCAGATACCATGGTGATAGGTGTGGGATAAGAACCCAAACATAACAGATTTCTCTGGCCAACTCAGAGGTGAAAGTAAGCCAGTACGGTCCGGTACGGCTTCCACGGCGGGGATTTAAAGGGGGGAGCCCAGAGCCCTTTAAATCCCACCCGCAGCTCCGGCGGCTGGGCTGGTGCCGGGATTCAAAAGGCCCGGAGCTCCCGCGGCTGCGGGGAGCCCCGAGCCCTTTAAATCCCCCTGCAGCTCCCAGTCACAGCCGGTGCCCCAGGACCTTTAAATCTTGAGAGGCCCCGCCTCTTTCCGGTTGAGGCCACGCCTCTTCTGGATGAGGCCACGCCCCCTCAGGACTCCGGCAGTACCAATAAGTCCTGTAAGTTACTTTCACCCCTGGGCCAACTGGCACTTCAAGCCCCATATCTCACAATATCAGATTCCTCCCTAACTGCAAACCCAGCTGAATGAATTTCACTTTACCACTACAGGTCTGTTTCCCAGGAAGTTCAGGTCACTGTTCTCTCCAAAGAGGTAGCCCTCCGGGTGCGTGGAGTCGAACTTCTCACCTCCCATGATGAAATGGCTGGCAAAGTAGCTCCCTAAAAAGGGACAGAAGAAATAGAGGCTGTCAAATGCACTGAATGGCGCTGGAAAGTGAATTCAATAAACTGCTGAGCAATGAAATGATCCCAGCGATTTCCAACTCAGTCACATGCTACCACTTGGGGCAATGATGCATCCTGCGGGCAGAGTGGCAGCGGAGCCGCCGCTGAAATTAAACACGTTTAGTCAATGCGCTCAGATTTTGCTTTGTCTGTGGAAGTGCTTCACTTAAATCCCCCAGGGCTGAAGCCACCAGCTGTAACTGACAAGAGACCTGTTCAAAACTGCGACATGGTGGAGGGATGATCCAAGGTCTCAAGAACCAGGAGCCCTATTCTTCACACTGTCTGAGTAGCTGAGACAGTCCTTCTGCTTGGGGTTAGCACCACTGTCCACATTAACTGTCTAGTCTGAAATGGAAACTCCAGGGAGTTGTTCTGTTACCGTATTTTGGTGGTGATTAGACAGAGTCACGGAAGAAAGGAGAATTTAAGGCAGCTTTTAAGAGACACCTGTCCTGATGTCAGCAGCTCCTCTTACCTAGCTCAGAGGAGGGGACCATTTTAATGACGCTTCCCCAAAAGGACCTGTCAGTAAGCAGCGCTCCCATCCTACTCGGAACAAAACTGCACAGAGTCATCCTGGAGTCTGGTTTGTTAACCACGACACTTCCAAAATAACTCTATGCAAAACCCCAGCCTAAGTCTTCCCTCCAGGCGCAGCTGCTCCGAGGGGTCTTTCCATCACGACCTGTGCACTCCACTCCTCCGAGTGCCCATGTGTTCTCTACCAGGATGCCTACCCTAACGTTACCATCTCCCTTGCTCCTTTACCAGGAATATCAGCTAGCTACACTCAGGAGTCAGAGAAAGTTACTAAATGGCTTTCCCAGCAGGATCACCAATCAGGTAAGGAGGTGGGTTATTTCCAGCAGACACTGACAGCCTGGACAGGCCTCCTTAAACTGCTCACCGTCAGACTGAAAGGATTGCCATCTTCACTGGAAAGCAGACAGTTTCCAAGTTGCTACGAAGCGTGTAAGGGTCATTTCAATGGAGCAACCCCCTCCTCCCCACTCCTTTGTGTTTTTAAGCAATAGAAGTGACTTTGCCATCTCTTGGAAGCGGATCTGCAATGCCACTCCCTTCGGCTTTGTTTAATCAAACGTATTTATTTAAATCGTAATAAGGGAAATTGGACAAACAAAAGACAGGGAAAAAATCATCAGGATTTGCAAATCTAGAACCATTACATGCCCGTGAAATAAAGCATCAGTAGTGGTTGAATCAGATGCTCTGCAAAGAAATTAACCCTGTCCCACAGGCCAGCACAAGGCATAGGTGTCACTTAGCCCACGAGGACTTACTTAGACCTTGGCTTTGCCCTCTGAAAAGGGGACCCAGTTCGGCCCTGGGAGTTCCACCCTAGTAGCAGTCATTATTACATCATATGAAAGAGAGAACTCCACATTTAAGGCTCTCTCATGGCAAACCTGATCCCTTTGGTCCCATTTGCTTCCTCAGAGCAGCATTATGACAGCTTCTGGTCCAACTGTTAGCCTGATTTTAAAGTGCCTCTTTGGTCTAGTTAGTTGTGTCTCTTTGCAACTGGTTAGAGTGATTGTATTACCCAGTAGCTCTCTTTTATCAAGAAAAACCTCACCGCAGGTCAGACTTTGAGATCCTTATGCAGATTTTACTGAGGGGTAACATTTTCAAGAGCGCAGAAGTGATTGAAGAGCCCAAGTTGTTTCTCAGGCAAATTCCCAATGGAGACAATGGGAATCTGTTTGCATAAGGGCGTAGCGTGTTGGCCAAATCTTGAGGTCAGTTTTCATCAGTATAGGTACCTTAGTGAAAAGTACAATTAAGGTTTACCTCTAATTATGACCTCTGTCTAGCACATTCTTCCTTCAGCGCCTGCACACTGCCTGTTAATGGACGCTATCTACTTGCCCCTGGGGACAGCAGATCCCCAACATGAGTTAATGCATCACATACATTTCCCAGACCTCTGACACCTGCCCCTTCGCCCTCTAAACAATTCACAGATTTCACAGTAAAAGGTCAAACCAACTTTTAACGAGCTAGCCTTAATCCCAGCCTCGCCAGCAGGAATGGATAGCCTCTGACTTGCAAGAGATAAAAGAGGGAGGATTGTTCTCCAGTTTCACAAATGGAGGGAGAGCAGATCAACGTTGGGGATTAGAAACAGAGGCATTAATCCTTGTAATAGACTTGATTTAATTTTTAGGGTTGCTAAAGAATACAGCAGCGGCAGCCCTTCTTCCCCCACCCCTCGCCCCCATCACCCAGTCACGGTCATGCCAGAATGCAGGGATATCTCCAAAGGCCCTGGGAACTGCAGGAAAGGGAGCAGCTAGAGGTCAGAAGCTGAGTCAGTCTAGCTCTGCTGCTAAGCCAGTAAACACTGCCGGAATAGTGAGATACTGACACACACTAGAAAACACTGGGCCCGTTTCTGCTCTCACTGACTCGCTGTAGATCAGGAACAATTCTGGTGTGGGATCAGACTCAGACCCTGTGTGTCTCAATGTACCTGTTCAGTTCAAACAGTGACTGCCTACAACCCCCAGCTTTACACCAGCATGTCCCCGCAGCTCCTGGGGGAAAGGGGGCTCCGCCCGCGGTGCCACCCCCGCAGCTCCCATTGGCTGCGGTTCCTGGCCAATGGGACCTGCACCTGCGGAGCCGGGTTAGGGTTAGGGTTAGGGGACATGCAGGTAGGAGCCGGGTAGGGAGCCTGCCAGCCCTGCAAATCCCCTCACCTCCAGCACCCGCGGGGGTCCCGGGCTGCTGCCCACCTCTGCTCCCCACCCCTCCCCAGGACCAGCAGGGATCCTGGGCCACGCCCCCCAGCACCCCCGGACTGCCCCCCCATAGCACCCGTGCCCCCCCCGGCCCAAGTTTTAGTTAGGGATATATAATAAAAGTCATGGACGGGTCACGGGCCCGCGAATTTTTGTTTACTGCCCGTGACCCGGCCATGACTTTTACTAAAAATCTCCGTGACTAAAACGTAGCCTTACTTATAAACACTTTGGTGCAAGGACTGGTTCTCACTGTTGATGCAATGGGGCCACACCTGAAACTGGCCCCTTTAGGCACTACCATGTCACAAATAATAATACAATTGTTTAAGTAACCTTAACTTACACAGCTGTGTAATTAACCTTAATTTTCATGTTCTGACATTTGAGCGCTTTGCACCCTTTGGCACCCGCGGACTCCATGCAGATACAGGGGTCTATCCAGGCTGGATCAGGGCCTTCCAGGGGGTAGAAGGGTGTGAGGTGACATTTGACATGATTCTGAGCAGCAGCTAAAAGTTACACTGTGCAATTTACAAGAAGAAAACCACCAGACACCTAAGCGGGTACAATGACGTTGCTCACAGCTGAGGAAGGCTCGACTATCAATTATTGATGCCTGCTGCTTTCTGGCCCCATTTTCCACGTGCATAATTTATAGGTAAGATAGTTTCACAGAGAGAAAGCCGCCATCTGAAGGAACCCAACAGTTGAGCTGCCCTCAACCTTTGCTAAAACCGATATGGGCACATGTCTGGGGAGGAGGAGAGCGAGGATATACATCACATGGTTTCACTTGGACAGATTCAGTGACTTGGGCAGAAGACTAAATCATAGAAGTGCACATTAAACCTTCTAAGGGGAGTTTCCTAGGCCCCATAAAAAAGGTTCAAAGGGGGCAGCCTGCAGTAAGCAGCAGCGCCATTTATTGTGTGCGCTCGACAATCCTGGAGCCCTGGGTTCAAATCCTGATCTAGCACCAGATCCACTTCCCACTACGCTCAGTGGAAAGGCCCCCACTGGACTGGGCACTTCGACCACAGGGAGAACGATGGTCTCCAGTTACTTCTCAATGAGCACGCTCCCCACACATGATTCAGCCACAGGTGAGAGAGGGCTCTCTGCAGGGCAGGTGCTGCAGATCAGAAGGAAGGTGTCTCTTACCTGTGCATGGCACTCCATAGAGAGCACACGCAGAGCCGCGTGAGGAAGCTGGCACTGCATCCGCCCCGACAATGCCTGGTTCTAGATAGGGCCCGGCAGCCTCTCGCTTGCCTGAGTGACTGAAGTTCAGGGTGAAGGTCAGAAGAAGTCGAATGCCAGGGCCCAATGCCCCCGATGCAGGCAAGGGAGAGCAAAAGCTAGTGTAGATGGGGCAGCACCTCTCAAGAATCCCATGGAAACCCCTCTGCAGGACTGGGGCTTGGAGGCAGGGGAATCAGGGGGAAGCCACTTTACGTTGCTTGCTCTCATCTGAACCCAGGGAAGCTCAACACAGCAGTCAGTGCTACAAGCACTAGCTCCTATTCCCCCTGGGCACAGCGGTGGGCAGGGGAGTCAACGGCTGCATTTCTCCCAAGGGAGCAATGATGCTGGAAAAGCTCCCTGTGCAGGCTTGGACCTTCCTTCCCCTGAGATCAGAGGGATTTGGAGACTGTCCTGCCTACCTCCTCTGTTGTTGGCCCAAGCCCCTCCACCTTTCACATTAGTCCGGACCATTCTGTTGAGATAAAGGGTTGTCTTGTGGCCGCTGGGACTCAGCAGCTCTGGGCTGTGTCCAGATCCACCAGATAACCTGTGTGACCTGGTGCAAACCAAATGATCTCCCTGGGCCTCAGTTCCTCATCTGTGAAATGGGGATATGGTGTGTGGTATCACTCATCCCCTGGGGAGCCACTAGGGCTGCATGTTCCCACATTCACACTGCATTCCCTCTCCCCTTCATAAACACCGTCTTCCTTTTAGACGCAGACTCAGTGCTTGCGAGAGGGGAAATGTTGCCTTGTAAGGATGCCCAAGGAAGGTGTTTAGTTTTCCCAGGTTTCTGGGTGGGGGTTCGAGCTGCTTTTGTTTTGTAATCTGAAGAGGAACCCCTAGATAGTGAACCAGGCCCTTGCTGCTGCTGACACCACCTGGCAGAGCGGTTACGCACTTTTCGTCTCTCTC